TTTGATCAAACTGCCAGTTAAGTAACACATGCAACCAGACTTGGACTTGAGGTCAAGAGACTTGAGACGTGACTTGGATTTTTGGTCAAAGACTTGGACTTGATTTGGACTTGCAAAAAAGATTTGCGCACATCTCTGGCACTGAGCCTCGATAGGAACTGGGACTAACTTTTCGATTTTCCCGGAATTTTTCAACATTTTAAATTTAGATTCTTAGTTTCCATGCTCAGTCAACTGACCAGAAGAAGAAGCTGCTGAAAACCATCAAAGAAAACGTGGCAGGTTGTGTGCGCACAAATGGAAAGTGTTTGGCGGCGATCCAAAGTGTGACTTAACTTTATTAAAAGAATAAGATTATACAGTATCATGCAAAGAAGGGCCACATGACCAACATGATTAAACACCACTCAGGGTTCTGTCTTTGACGCTGTGCGAGCCTCCAATGACACTTCAAGGTAATTAAAGCAATACAGTTCATCTAATACCAACATCGAGGCAGCTAAGTTATAGATCCAAAACTGTAAGATCAGCTCAGTAAYATGTTTAAGTACCTGCAGCATCAGACACTGAATGGGTCAATGTGTTTTCATGAGATTTTTAAAAATAAAGATCTCTTAACCATTTAAGTGTACASTGTAAATAATGTCCATCTATCCAAGTCTTACAATCTTATACCCAGACTAAAAGTATTTTTGATCCCGTTATGAGATGTACTAAACAAGAGCAGAATGTGTTGGATTATGGATACTGTTAGTATGGAAATTTTCCTTATTTCAAGAAGTTTTAATTCACAGACAGATTATTTAATTTTTTTCACCCCGACTGAGTTGATCTGGATGATACACTAGTTACGAGCTACAAGACAAGTCATAGGAGTTAACCTGAAGTCACCTTCTGCAGTTCAGAGAAGCTACATTAAGGAAAAGTACCACTTTGGTACAGAGTGAAGCTCCTTTTTTATCATGGCACACAGTGAAAAGATAAGCAGAAGGAGACACAAAAACACTCTTTCAGATGAGAGTAGTGATTGCCTGTGACTCATGTATTATTGGTCTGATTGTTCACACTCATTCCTGACATCAGTACTGTGAAGGTTTAACAGTAGGGACAGCAGCAGCGTAACCAACACTTCAGGTGCTGCCTGAGATCACTTCAGGCAACATTTCTCTAGAAATTACTGTGTCCTGCTGACGGTGGTGTAAAGGTTTCAATTATAGTGTTGGGATGAACTGCTCTGAAACGTCAAAGATTGGAGTTGTTTGAAGTTGGCAAAATCTGTTCTGGAAGTGAGTTTGCTCAAACAAGCCACCTCATCAGCAGTGGCGGGCACCAGTCCCCTAAAATGCAAAAGTGCTCATTTCGGATCTAAATTTCTTGTTTGCCCTTTAGGGGTTGCATTTTTTTCAAACAATGTGCAGAATTGCTCTTTTTAATTTTAAAACTGAATAGCTCTAATCTAAACTTTTCATTGAGTTTTGATCGTCATTATTTTCAACAGCGGAGGAAGAAAGCCGTCTAAACTCACAACGATGCAGTACCATTTATTTCATCCAATTTTGATCATCATTATCTTCAACAGTGAAGCAGGGAGGAAGCCATCTCTGGTCAATACAATGATAACCCATTGTAGGAAAATGGCACAGAGCTATGTATTCTGGCTGACTGTCCTTGTGGGTGATGGTTTTCATTTAAGAGAGAGAGTTCCCACAATTCTTTGTGTTTACGTGGCAGAAGCAATTGGAGCTACGTCACTGGGMGACACTCCCAGTCCTAGCCCTTCTCCACCTGCTGCAGTTCTGATCTGCGGTTTGGCCCGACATTTGTCTTCCAGGTTCCAACCACACAGAACCACAATCAGCTTTGCAGTTTGTACCTCCTCTCCAATGGTTCCGGGCAGAAGGCCTTTTTTTTAACACAACAGTGTATTGGACGTCTGCCCATAATCGCACACACAGTGAGGGACACTTCGTGGGTGTGTTTGTTCATGAGCAACATAGTGATGAGAAAGTCCAAAGCAGTTTTTTTTCATGTTATTTTGTTTAAAAAGATTTTTTGTCTGAAGCCAGTTGTTAAAAGAGCTAGAACAGCAGCTGGTTTGATCCTATTGAACGTGATCTGATGTTCACGTCACGTCTTTTTTCCGTCACCACCGTTAGCAGAAAAAATATACAGTATGGCTGTGTCCAAAACGACAGGACGGGTCCTCCGGAGGACCCAGACTCCCCGGTCTCGGCAGGCCAGGTCCTTGGTAGACCGGGAAGACCGGRAAAAAAGAGGCTGTGGATTTGGACGGTCTAGCCTCCCCTCCTTACCCCGGCGTACGTCTTGTCACCTAGCAACTGTGACGACGCTARACAAGCAAACTTAAATCAAAACTAGAAAAATATCAACACATTAGCATTATTAATATCACAAAACTATGAAATTAACTTAAAGGTATCATTTGAAGAACTAATTGACCTGCTGTAAGTTCATGTTTATTTCGCGTTTTTTATGATGAAAAAATAATATATAAAAACATGTCCATACAAATGATAAAAGTATTAGAATTACAACCGCTAWTTTTTTTTTATTTTTAAATCACCATATTTTTATTTAAAACGTATTCTTTTCTCTCGCTTCGTCCGCCATTACTAGCTTAAAAAAATCTCCGGTCGGGCCGCAATGCATTCTGGGATATGCTGGGCCGGGAAGGATCCATCGGACCTGTCCTTCGATTCGGGGAAAAAGAAGGACGTATTTGTCGGACGCATCGGAGGAGTCTTCCGTTTTGGACGTCCTTCGTCGCGGCGCTGTGACGTATGCGGCCGACAAATTCGACCTTCGGAGGACCCGTCCTGCCGTTTTGGACACAGCCTATATAACTAAATTAAAAAATTGTTTTTCCTCTGCGGACTCTTCACCCAACAACACTGATCGTTGGGTGAAAGAAAAAAAAATCCAGCCATCATCATTGTTGTTTATGTATTTATACTGTACGAGCTTTGGAAGATATTATGATAATTTATGGCCCGCTGTATCTTCAGTCACCAACCCGCTGTCTCACCTCGTATTGAAGCACAAGCCAAGCTACAAACACAGAGAACAGTTTAAATTCATGCTTATTTTGAAGTGAAGACAGTTTCCTATTCTCCGTCCTGTACCCAGAATGCATCGCTTCAGCTCTCCAATAAACAAGTTAAAAATTATTAATATATCTGCATGCTTTCTTACCAAAGCCCCACCATAAACATAAGAAAACGACCTAGAAGTACCAGAATTTGCAATCCCCAACTGTTTATTTAACAACATGAGTCAAAAGTATGTTTCAACAAATCACCTCCCCAAACAGCGGTGTCACGTGCAATGCTATATAAATAAACTGTTCCTCAAGAATGGCTCGTTATCACTGGAATATAATCTTGTGAACACTGAGTCAGTTTTGCGCTTTAGATTTAGCTTCTGAAAAGTTTTATTGGGCATACGTGCTTTAGAGCTTGCGGATCTAAATAATTTTGCAAGCGCTTTAGAATTTGTGCAACTAACTTTTGAATTAGCGCTGCCCACCCATCAGTATAGTTCATTAGTTATCATTGATATTAAAAGGCACAAGAATAAACACTTTTTATTTGGTTAGACCGGTTATTGTTTTATTTATTAAATTGTGAGGATCTCGTGCAAATAAAGCCTGGCTTCATTGAAACCTAAATGTGTGTTGTGGCTTCCTAGTGCTTACCTATGGCCAGGGTCATGACCTTCAGCTTGTTCCGCACCAGCTTGACCACCATGCTCTTCTGCAGCGGCGTGGAGCGGCAGCACAGGACCGAGCGGCAGCTCCGAGCCACAGCCAGAAACTTATCCTCCAAGCTCTTGTCCAGGGCATAGGCCAAGGTGCGCCCATCAATCACCAGGCCCAGCCGGTGCACCAAGAAGGGAGCGGTGTGGGAGGATGAGGAGGACGGAGAGGAGGGGGGGTACATTTCAAAGGRGGGAAAGTTGGTCTGGAAGGCCTTGGTGGATGGGACTCCCGAGCTGCAGAGGAATTTGGCCTGGATGTAGTGTAAACTCTCCTCCAGCAGCAGCGCACATGACTCCTGGTACAGATAAAAAGGTACAGAGTGGGGGGAGGGGGGTCAGCATCAGGACACGATGACATCAGTTTATACTGTCTGAACAGCATAACAAAACATTTCAGAGCTAAACAGTGTCCGCTTAAACAAATATTTGTATTATTTTTTATTATTTAGTACATTCTTGTCATTAATTCTCTGTATTTATTGTATCAGATGAACCATGTGATGTTTAACTTTTATTTTGTATATCATGAAGCTGCTTTTCAAATGTCTTTTACTCCGACTATGAGGACCTAGATGGACACGGGTGAGGAGGTTCTGTGAGCTGCAGATCACCTGAGAGTCAGCATTCAGAGTCAGCATCTCCTCCTCGGGGTCCAGCAGTTTGCAGGCGTACGCAATGTTGACGGCCGTTTCCTGTTTGTCTCCTGTTAGCACCCATATCTGCAGGCCGGCCTTCCGCAGCGAAGCGATCGTTTCAGGGACGCCGTCCTGCAGCCGGTCCTCGATGCCAGTTGCTCCTGTGGGTCAGAGAACACAATTTAAATCCAGTATAAAGATATCTGATAAAGTAGAATCAAAGGAAAGTACTGTAAAATGTTCTGATGTATGAATAAACTCCAGTAATTTAAATGATTAAGTTACCCAAAAGATGAAGGTTTGTCTCCAGTCTCAAGGCCGACTCAAAGAGCAGCTCCTCCCTCCCCTGAATGGCCGTCTCTGCCTGTAAGTGACGCTGCAGCCAGCAGGCATACTCCTCTTTGCTCAAAACCTGACACATAAACACAAAAGTTTGCACGCACACAATTAAAGCTTCATCTGTTTGAGTGCTGAAGGGAGGGGAGGGGAAAAAAACTAACAGTAGGGCAGATTCTTCCTCCACAGCAAAGGAAGACAACAGAATGTGAGACCCTGACAAGGTGTTTTATCACTTGGCTTCGGTGACGATCTGCGCACAAGCTGGAATATAACAAGTCTAGCTTGTGAGAGCATAAATTAACAGCCTGGGAAAAGAGGCACAGATTGCAGCTGAGTCACGGAGAATGTTACTTTTGGACAAGCTGCTCCATGTGATCATCTGTGCCGGGCTACAAACGCAGCCTGCCAAAAACAAGAAAAAAAAAGAGAGATATTCTCTCTCCATTGGGCTCTGAAGTCGTTTAATGAGAGAAGGCAMTTGTTCAGCACTTCAGAGGTTTCCAGATAACTTCCTGTTTACCTTTTTTGCGATGCACAGTGTACGAAGGCCATCTGCAGCATACAGGTTCAGGTAGTTCTGGGTCCTGCAGACTATCTTCTTCTGGCGTTTCCCTTTAGAGCTGCCTAAGAAAACATAAAATCAAGATAGAGGGGTGAAGATGGAAAATTCTTGAGAATTTGCACGAAATTTGCCACTTTAGCACCAAACGGCTTCAACAGAAACATGAACATCACCCGTCCTTACACCAGACACACTGAATCTAAATATATTTTAACACATCTTCAAGCTCCATTAARCTGGCAGAAAGATTTCCAGCTCATCTTACAAATATAATCAGTCACAGTGGTGGGCACAGTTCCCCTAAAGCACTAATAGGGGAACTAATTTCCTGATTAGTGCTTTAGCGCTTTTGCTAATTTTAAAATTTATTAGTGGATTAGCACTTGCTGAATTTATAGGCTGAATTTAGAAGCACTAACTGAGGTCTATAAATGTTATTGATCACTGTTATTGTTATTGCTAAGTCTTAATAGAGCAACATGGCAACATGTTTGTTCATGTTTGTTTCTTCAACGTTTATTGAAGGATTTTTCATGGGTCACCTGTGTTATTTTTGTGCTTTAGAATTAGCTTTTGCTAAAACTTTCATTGCTTTAGAATTAGGGGACCTAAATATTTGAGTTAGTGTTTTAGGGCTAGTGGAACTAATTTTTAGATTAGTGCTGCCCRCCACTGATCAATCGATTTCAATTATTTGACCAAACAAACATAATGTTGCTGAATCTGAGATGCTTAAGGTGTTAAGTATGGTGTTTTGGTAATACAGAGCTGCTGAGGGTCCTCTCTCTGGCAGGGGGGACAGTCACAAACAGATTGGCTTTATGGGTCTCCTAACACAGAAGCACAAGCCAGCCCACTTGACCGTCAGCCATGTAATCTCATTTATAACACCACAGCTCGGCAGGCACACAAATGCTGGCATCACTGCGGCAAATAATTTTTACTAAACACGTAAAATAATTTAAAACACCAAATGTTCTCCTCTGCAGGATGAATGTTACTCTTTGATCGATTTAGGCCACGTGAGAAGGCAAGCATGGTGAGAAAAGATATTGATGCAGTTAGAGGACACATGGAGGTAGATGAAGTGAGGACAGAGTGAGACTGAGGAGGATGACTCGATGTGGCGACCCYTGAGGAGAGAACAGCTGAAAGAAAAAGATGAAAATGAGAAACGTGATTCTGAACTACCAGGAGCAGYAACAATGGGTTAAAGAAAGAGGACAGTTCTGTCAGACTATAAGAGCGTCTCTTGGTCCTTTCAGATTTTAATTTTCTTTTGATGAAGTCATTCTATTGTTAACTTTGACGTATGCTTGAGGCAGAGGTTGCTCTACATTTTGCTGTCTGCCATTTTGACTGACAAAAAGTTCTGTCAATTTATTTTTACCATCACTTTATTTAAAAAAAAAACAATTAAGTATTCAATTGCATTTATTTTCATTCAATTTAGTATTCGGTCTGAACAAGCTGAACAGATAATCTACCTAAACCAGATGAACACATGTAACCTTTTCTCAGCAGTTAAAAAAAAAAAAAAAAAAAAACAGTGACTGTCCCAATAACTTCATCTAAACAATGAAATTGATTGCACTTAAAATACGAACAGATCACCTGCTGTGGCCTGAACCCACAGTCTCACATCTTCATCCTGATCTGCATGGACCTGAATTGCACACCTGCTCATGTGTAATCAAATGTGTCAAGGGGGYTTGCTGCAGTGGCTACTGTCATGAGGTTTTGAACTTTTGTCTCAGACAGAAAACGTCTCATCGCTGTCTTCATGTTGTTTCAGACGCTCTCTGCTGCCACCCTTTTTTCCATTTCTTTTATCAACACTATCGTTATTGTTTTTTTTTGTAAGAAACTTCGGACACTCAGCTACGTAACATTCTTCTGAGTGAAGCCAATGAGGTCATGCATCAGGTGAGAAAGCAGCTAACTAATTTGTTAATTCATTACCAAGTGGTCAGGGGAATTAATTGCAATYGGTCAATGATTGATGGTCTTCAGATTGTGTTGTCACCATTTTAAAAACTGGTCAAACATTTAGTTAACATGACCCCTGGCTTGAGGTCATTATGCTGAAAAAGAAAGGTCTTCCCTTTTATATAAAAATAAATAAAGAAATAAAGAAAAAGAAAAGAGTTGAGTAGGTCCTCTGGACAAGTTATTCTTTGTTGAAAAAACATTCTCTCTCTTCAACAAGAGACTTCTTCAGTCTGAGGAGTTACAGCTAAACTGAGCCTGATGCTACGTTCACACCAAATGCATTTTGAGCTGCAGGAGAAGCCAGTTTACACGCAAAGTCTATGGCGGACACGCCTCCAGCGGTCGTCCGTCGCGTCACGTACGTTTTGGGCGGCGCGCAAGGAAGGCAGAAGGGGCRGCAGAGCATTTTCCGCGCAAGCGGTGCTGCAGAAGCAGCTGCCACCAGAGTTAAAAGATCTGAACTTTTCGCCGCTCGACATGTCTTGACAACCAATCAGAGAGACTCATTCTTCCATGTGACAGTTTCCTGAATGTTGCCCACTAAACCAAAACAGACGGACAAGAGATCTTTACCTGAAATAGACCCATCTGCAGTTGGATTTTCTGGCAGGATATATCAGTACTGATGTGGGTCAGCTGGTCAGGAGAAAAAAACAAAGGTCCGTCAACTGGCAGCTTCTGGAGTGGCGAAACTAACCGAACTAATCGCCTCTAAATCATCTGGTGAGTTAATTATCTGCTGTGCGCAACATTCGCTTGCTCTTTAGTAAATAAATCAAAGCCATTTTCTTTATTTTTATCTTTATTTCAACCGCTGAGGACAGACCGGAAAAACCCAAGACGCTCCTCCCTCTTCAGATGCACGTCTGGTCTGTGTCCCAGTCTGAACATAGTGCGTCCAACTTGAGGCGTTTTGTGCTTTTTGGCCGCTCAAAACGCGTTCGGTGTGAACGTACCATTATTATATAAACATGCCTCCACATGCTGGATAAACAAGTTAAACAATGACTATCAAAACTCTTTGTTTACATGCAAAAAAGGACACTATGACACTAACCATCAGCCTAACGACTGATAGTTAGTGTCATATTGTTCACAGAGGGCCCAGTCATACTTGAAATAACAGCATTGTAATGGGGGACAACTGGATATGGAGACATCCCCCTGTTTAATGACAGTTTCTTTTCACAAAAAATTCTTCCTTTAATCCTCTCTCAAACCAGTGCTCCTCTCTATCAAGGATGAGAACATCTTCATTCCTGAAAGAGTGACTGCTGGCCTGTAAATGAGTGTAAACTGCAGAGTCCTGGGGCCTCATGTACAAAGACTTGCGTGGACTTCTTACTGAAACGTGGCGTACGGTATCAAACCATGCGTACGCCGGAATCCACGCAGATTTCTTTTGTACATCACAATTAACGTGGAACTGAGCGCAGGTAAGACACCTCCACTGACAAGCCTTCATTAACATATGTTAAACAGATGCAAATTACATCCTGCATGTGTGAAGGACATGTTTGTTTGGTCCCTGCATGATCAGAAAGGATTTCTAGATTCAGGAAAATAATGAATTTAATATAATGTGAGTGAGAAAAAAATACCCTAAGTAAGAATAGGAATAAAATATGTTTATCACGCAAAGAACGAGTGATTGTGTGTCGGTGTTGTGTGTGTGCGCGTACGCTGCTGTGTTGTGCAACCGGCATCCATCCATTCCGAGTCTGAAAATATTAACTTTGTGCACGAGTTTATTACCATAATTACTGGAAACACTGAGGAACTTAGATGTTTGGTAGAACATAGCTCTTTGTTTATTTCATAGCTGATATGAAGAAACGAGTCTCTGCATCTCAGTGGGGAGCTCACATGATGTGACATGATGGAGAGTCCACACAGTCTGTCTGTCAAACTTTTGCTCTCCTACTTACAGCATTTTCACAAGTTGTAAAGTGTACTTCCACGTGTCATTTTGGAGAAATCCCCAACAACGTAAACGCCAAGTATGAAACACCTCCACTGCCGGGGAGAGTGCGTGCTCCAGAGGGCGACCATAACTCAGCCTTTAGAATCATATGGATGAGACGATTCTATTGGGCATGAGTCCAGGGGTCGGATTTATAAAACTGGCGTACACACAATTTGAGCCCAGAAACTTGCGTACTCCACTTTTCACGCCAAGGTTGTGATTTATAAAATCCAAACTTGACGTGAAAATGTGCGGTGCCTCAGCCAGCTCTGACCCATGCGTACACTCATTTTGGAGACGTGAAACTGCGACACAGATGGTGAAGTGAAGAATTAGAGCCACACTGTGTAATGATCAGTCAGATATTTCATTTACCTTCATAATCAGACTTAGATTTTTAATCAACTTTATCATCAGCTTTCTTAGCAGTATTATTTATGCTTCTGCTGCCGAGCCATGAGGACCTTTGAAATAAAAAACTTAAATCTTAAATAAAAGTTCACGCATCCATTCATCTCCTTCCTCCTCCTCCTCACGACCCTGACCCACAGACCCCTCCCCGACAAAAGTCATTTCAATAGCACCACAGCAAAAATCACGCTTTGGGTACACGCACCCACCCTCACCAGTGTGGATATTATAAAAAGTTCACTTTTTAAAAAATGCATTTGTCTCGCGGGGGTGGGGTTGGGGG